AGAAAGGTGCTGTGGTGGGTTCTGGTCAGTGAAGCCCAGCTCCTCCCTACAGAGGGTGAGTCTGGGGGGCAGTTTGCTCTCCCGTGCTGACACACCTATGGGCCAGACATGACATAAGGCAGCAGGACTCTGCAGGGTTTTGATTAAGAGGTGCCAAGCGTCTTGTGTTTGAGGAGGAATTTGGGTTAAAACCCCCATTCAAAGACAGGGTGATGCAGGAAACAGCCTGTCAGAGCACAAGCTGGAACAGAGGTCCTCTCCCAGCCTCTCAGCCCTCCTCATTTGCTCATGTTTCATCTCTTTCCACTATATTTTAGCAGCCTCAACATACACTTAAAGAAGGTGCCAAAGATGAGCCTGTTGTCACCTGAAAAGCAGCTCAGCAGTTATAGAGTTCTTCCAGGAGGTGGAGGAAGAGCGTTGGCTTCCTGGGGTAAACCCCACTCGGCTTTCACAGTGCTGGATCTTCCTCTGCTGTGTCTTAAAACGCTCACGTTTGTAGAGTTGTTGAAGGGCTTAATGGAATTTTGTGGCTGAGAAGATGCCTCGGATGGCCCAAAGCAGGTGGAGACAGCGATGAAAGTCCAGATGTCCATAGACTCAGCTCACAGTAATTGTGTGTACTTACTAAGAAGTCTGAGGGAATTGGACCTGTTTTGGGGTGACCACGCTTGAGAAATGTCATTTTCAAGCTTTTTTTTTTTTTTTAATTCCCTGTGTGCTTAAACAGGCCTTTGGATCAAGGCACCTCAGGGGTGTGTTGAGCCATGTCTGCCCTTGGCTGTGGGAACAGATGTCTCCCGTGCTTCTACTGATGCAAAATGGGTCACAAAAACTGGTCTAGTGTAGTTTTGACAAGTCACAAATAAATTACAACACACAGTTCGCTGATGTAAACCTGCCTTACAAACAGCAGTTCAAATGTCCAGCTTCTGTTTTTTGGGGATGTTAGGGGAACCTGCAAAATACAATTAGCACTTTTCAGTGTTCTTGGGAACAGTGATCTGTGGCTGAGCAGTGACTGGAGCAAACTGGCATTTTTTTGGCTTTGTGCAGGTTTTCCACTGTGTGATTTTATTCGCTTTTTGAGGCAGCCCTCGGTTTGAAGAGTAACAGAAAGCTTAACATTAAGAGTTGGAGCAGAGCTGTTTGTTTTTCAATCTGTTTATATTTCTGTTCTGAGCATCAGTGCAGACAAAATGCGTGGGGTTCGAGCGGTATATTCTGCTGCCTTTAGAGACTGTGGAGCGCTGAATTTAGTCAAAGTGTTGCTTATTTTCCTCTGTTATCAGTCTGCACTGATGCTCTGAACTGCAACAAAATAGATTGAAAAACAAATTGGTGTGCCCTATCTCCTTGTGCTGGATTTCACATTATCCTCTGGGCGAGCTGCCTGCTCTGCCCCTTTGGAGCACCCCAGAGACAAGTAATGACCCCTCAAGCCTCTTTCAGCACTTCAAAGACTGAATTACTTTTGGTGGGAGAGGTAAGAAAATTGAATTGCAGTCCTTGATTTTCTGGCTTTCCAATAACCCTCATTGTAAGATCATCATCTTGGTAACAGAAAAACAGGAAACTGGTAAACACACGCAGAAAATATTCAGATTGTGATTTAAGGCTGTCACTGCCCTTAACTCCTCAGAGCTAAAAACAAAACACTGCCCCTCGTTTAGAGGCCAGTGTCATTCCCAGGGTCGAGGAACATGAGAGATGAATTCCAGCTTTCCGTCCTGCTGAATTCACTGATTTCCATCAGAACTGTGAAATGAGCCTTTGAGTGGTTGCAAGTGGGCCGGGATGGGGTGAGCCCCTCTCACAGGGCAAGGAGACTCTGTGGGCTGGCACCTGCTTCAGTGACCACTTCAGGTTTTAGCTCCCTGAGCAGAGAGTGCTGGGGAGCAGGAGGGCTGAGGGGTGCTCCTGTGAGCGCCTCCCGTCACCTCCAGCAGAAGTGGCATTTACTTAAGACAGGGAAGTTGGATTCTTCCATTTTGCTTATCTCTTTCTGTCCACTTCGTGTTTTGTTTTGTTTTGTTTTCTGCCTGCTTTGGTTCAGCTTTTTAGAACTCACATAGGACTTGCTTTCTTCTACTTTCACATCGGGTGTGCCGGCTGATTTTTTGAAGCTTCATTATCCATGTGGGCACCGCAAGTTCTCCATCTCTGCCTGGCTCTGGGCAGTGCTGGGCTGTGCTGTGCCGGCAGCAGAGGGAGCAGCAGGCTGTGGGTTTGTGCCTTTCAGAACCACTGTGCTGGGAGTGCTTCATTTTTTGGTAGCGTGCAGCAATAGTAGTTGGTTTGGGGTTTATTTTAAAGCTACGAAAAGCCTGCTCCAGAAGGAATTTCAGGCATGGAACACATCCTCAAGCTGGCCACTGAGATCGATGCAGAAAGAGCTTTTGGTGTTATTAATGGCAGCAAAAATCCTTAGTTATGGCAATGAGGGACATACAGAATCCTTTTGCTAAGGCCCTAGAGACATTAAAGTTCTTTCTGTGCCTTGTGATGGGTGTTCCAAAGGTGTGGGTACTGTGGCAGCAGGAATTGTGAGGGAAGGGTGGTCTCATCCATGCACCTTTGGACCACCTGTCTCTGCAGAGTCTTAATTGCTAAAGCTCTTGGTCCTAAATTTCAATTATCTTTTGATGAACCTGGTGATGTGGGTGGCTTTTGAATCTGTTGGATCTAGATGGAAGTAATTATATGAATAATGAAGAGAAGTAATTTAATTTTGGGCACTCTTTTTTAGTTATTTGGATAGAATTGGGTGTCCATCTTTCCTCCTTCTCTGTGAAGAAAGGTTGTTGCTCTCAACAGATCTTTTTCCTGTCCTAATATAGCTTAAAGAAAAAGACGTGATTCCCTCAAACTGTGGAGTTGTGGAGGGCAGGAATACCTGGGAAAAGGTGGAATGAGCTGGAACTGAACAGTGGAGGGTGATGTTTGCTGCAGACCTGTTCTGGACCACCTCTGCTTGGGAGTTCAGAAGAAGAAGGGGCATTTTGCTGAAGTGGGTGTCCTGAGAGCAGTCACAGATGGCAACTGCTGCTTCTGGATGACGGGGGACATTTATTGACATGTTGTCAAGTAGAGCCTTAGGAACTTTAGGCACTGTTGAAAATTTGGCTTAAATTGCTTATTTCACAGTCTCAGTGGAAGCTGGTGGAAGGAAAACTCTTAAGCCATCTTGGTGTTCTCCCTGGAAAGCTGGAAGGATGGGGTTTAAGATGTCCCATCAAAGGATTAATTTTGCAAAGGCTGTTTTTTGTGCAGCTCAGATGGGCAAATGCCCTGTCTCCTTTGTCCCCTTTGTGACTCAAGTAAGTCAGTCTTTGTCTTGGTTTACTGACAGTATGTCCCAGGAGGGCTGCAGAGAAGCAGCTTTAAGATGAAGACATGACAGTTGGCCATTTCCTACCAGTGCTGCTGGCAGAGGCAGACAGCTCATGTTCTGTCAGCACTCATCACTGCTGAAGGATCAGTTACCTGCTCTCAGAGATTCCCAGTTCCACCCAGTCCTCCAGCCAACTCTCCCAGAAGTCATCCAGAGGATGGCTGGGAGATGAAGCCAGACAAACTCAGGTGAGAAAGAAGACATGTAAATTAACAGTTAGAACAACTGTGGCGATGGAGGGTCCTCCCCCTGAAAATCAGTTCTTATCATGACTAGGCACCTTGCTGGAAGAGAGGCTTTAGCCAAACCCAAGTTATGAGCCTGGAAATCTGGGAGGCAGTGATGGATGAGGAATCAGATTGCTGGTGTGGTCCCTTCTGGCTCTAAGCTTTGAATAAAAGCCTGAAGTGTGCTCTAAGTAGGGGGCAGTTGCCTTGAGGCTGGTCTTGGCCAGCACCCCTTGTTACAAATGCCTGTTCTCTTTGGCAGTACTGGGTTGTTGGGCCCCTATAATTAAAGAAGTAAAATGTATTTAAACAAATATGTCTGTGCTAATTGCTTAGGACGCATTTTCCAGTGCTCTGAGTTGCTGTAATGAAGAAGGGGACATGCTGCTAGGCTGCTTAGAGCTTCACTGTTTCGAGCTGTCATGAGCAAATATGTCTTCTATATTCCTGCCAGGAATAGAGGGAGCAGACGGTGCTGCTGCTTCCTCCAGCTTGCCACGGTGCAAGCAATAGGTTTCATGCAGAAGGCTATTCATGGCAAAGTGAGCAGACGTCTCTTCCAGGACATCGATGTTTCCTGCTCGTCCTTTTGTAGGAAGAGCCACAGCTATTATTATTTAACCAGCAGACCCAATTTCATCTCAGATACTGGAAGTCCTTCAGCTTCAGGAAAGAGTGGGTGGACTGAAAATGCTATTTACATTGAGCCTGGCAAAAGAATCAGGTCTTTCTTTTCTCCCATGGCCAGCAGTGACTCTGCTCATGGCAGCTTGGTTCCTTGTGATTTACAACAGCGTGGGAGGAGAGCAGAGCCCACATGTTGGAAGGGCTGGAAGTGCAGGTGGCCAGCCCTGTGCATGGCTGAAGGGGTGGATCTGGTACAGCAAAGATGAGCTGCAAACCAGCCAAGCTTTGGTAGCAATGTGCCCGGAGAAGCTCTGTCTCTGAGGAGCAGGAGGGTGGGCTATCATTCCGCTCAGGTTTTCCTGCCTTCCAGAGAAGGACCTGACCACCATGTGCCCTTGCTTCACAGGTACCCAGATGGGGAGCAGGACACCTCTGCTTTGAGGTGATGGCAAAACCATCTGGGATCTTCACCTGGTGATTGAAAAACACGTTCCATAGCACTTCATCTTTAAAGCATGTGGGAGTTCTTGGCCGCTCAGGAGAGCTCTCCTGCATGGCTGGGATCCACCAACCAGTTGCTCAGCTGTCTGTACCTCTGGGATGAGGTGATACCTCTCAGCTTCTTCTGTCTTCCCACAGCCACCACAGGCAGTGCCACTCAGAATAACAGCTGGGGGATCCTGCCTGCCTGTGGATAGGAAGCCCTGCTTCCCACAAAGGCTGAGCTCCAGAGGGGTTTGTGCCTTGAAGAAGCAAGGTGCCAGTTCAGCCTGTGCCCAGTGTCTGCTTGTGACTTGCAGTGTTGGGAGCTGCTCTGAGCCTGCTTTCCTGAGAGGCAGTGCTTTGAGGTGGAGTATGTGCTCCTTAAAGCTCATGCCCTGCTGACAGGCAGTGTTAGTCCTGTTCTCTGCAAGAGAGCAGGAAGCTGAGTGCAAAGATGTTAAGCGTTGAAGGTCATGTAAATTGTGTCCATCCAGGTGCTCTTTCTCTGGTGTTCATGCTGTTTTGTGGCCTGCACTAGTGTTAGGCATCCAAGTGTGTAGACAAGGCAGTGACATCTTTATCTTGTCTAGCTTAGATAAAAACTCCAGGTATCCCGCTGATGCAAAATTCTGTTGGCAGATGTTCTATATGTTCTCCCTCCTGCAACAGGGTGGGGAGGGGGGGAGCAGAAGGAAGGCTCTGGTAGATGAGATTTAGGGCTCTGGACTTCTGCAAAAAAATTACAGCTTGGGGACAAAGACTTGTAAATTGATGAGTTGGGACTGTGGTGTGCTGAGAAAGGGGTGCTGAAGGACCTGGGCTGCAAGCAGACCTCTATCTCTAATGTTCACGTGGCCCTGCTCATCTTATCAGTGATGTAGGGAGAAAATGAACCGGTCCCAAACCACTTAGTGCTTTGCAGATCAAAACTAGCTTCTCAGATTCTCCTCTGTGTTTCATAGATGATCTGAACAGGTCTTCCTGCCCTGCTTTCCCACCTGTCCTTTCAGAAACCAGCTGCTGAATTCAGCATCAGCTCCAGCCCCTGGCTGCAGGCACAGCCTGGCACTGCAGTGCCTGATCTGGTGGGCACTCCCACCTCCGTGAGCTGTATGGCACATCAGGGAGGCTCTGCTCCCTTTTTACAGCTCCTGGGACTCAGTGCTCAATCCAAATCTGCTCACTGAGGTTTGAACGCTATCGAGGCTCTTTAGGTCTCAGGGTAAACTGCTGAATTCGTGGAATGTGAGTTCAGAATGGGGATCTTGCTGTAACCACAAAACTGCAGCACAGTAAACTACTGAAATTTGTAAACTGAAAAGTAGTTTTTACTTACTCTTCTGTCTTGCCGAGCAAAATGCTGACAGGGTCCCTTTCCTTGTCATTAGCTGGGTTTTGTGAGAGCAGCGTGGAGACCACGGTGAGAGGAGGCCAGTGGGTGCCATGGAGCTCCCCAGTTACAGCCAGCAGCTGCTGCCCCAGCTGTACACCCTGTGCAAGGAGCAGCACTTCTGTGACTGCACCATCTTCACTGGGGACGTGCATTTTAGAGCACACAAGGTAGTTTTGGCTGCTGCCAGCCTGCTGTTTAAATCCCTCTTGGACAGTACAGACAGCATCTCCATTGATGCTTCTGTGGTGATGCCTGAGGAGTTTGCACTCTTGCTGGAGATGATGTACAGTGGCAAACTCCCACTGGGGAAACACAATTGCACCAAAGTTATCTCCGTGGCAGATAGTCTGCAGATGTTTGATGTGGCTTTTTAGTTGCAAAAGCCTCCTCAGGGACCTCATAAGCTGTTCTCCTCGGGACCAGGTACTGAGAGGAGTCTCCAACCAGGCAGCAGATTCGTCTGAAAACAAAGCTGAAGCTAATAACCTGCCCCAGTCTGGAAAACTCAAAGAAGAAAAAACAGATATCCTCCTCATTCAGAGAGTTTTCCCTTTACCTGGCCCTGTAGAAGCAGAAATGGAAGCAGATGTTTCTCCTCCTGGCCAGGAACTTACTGTGAATTGCACCTGGGTTCACGAGGACTTGATGTTGGATGTCTCCAGGTCCCTCCAGGAGGATTCAAGCTCTGGCCCTGACCAGCCTGCCCATGCTGAGTGAAGTGGCTGTGTGGAAGAGCCTCCAGAGCTTGCTGAGCCTCCAGAGGGGAAAGGGCGATCGAGGGATTTAGGTGAGACTCCTCAAGTCTGGGCACAGCATTGCCTCCTGTTGGCAACACAGGCTCACATTTTCCTGTTATGGGATATCTTTTCCTCCATGTTGGGTCTTTTTAGTTTGCCCTGGGTTGGTAGCAACACCCTGTTCCGCAGGGATTTTCTTCCTTTGGCTTTTGCAGTTGTTTCACGCTCACCATTTTGCCAGAGCTGTAGTGAGCAAAATTTTTCATGCCTGGGTGTGTGAATGCATCTGCCGTGCAGTGGGATCTGTGTTTGTGCAGGACATGGGGCTGATCAGACAGTCTGTCTAACAGCAAGTGAACAGAGTTGCCTGCTAATGCTGCCTTATCCTTTAAACCCCTGTTCAGCATGGGAGGAAAACAGAGGCTGTACTGGGTTTAAAATAAATGTTCCATTTATAACTGGTGTTAAATAAACCGTTAGTTTTCCCTCCCAGGCTGTGTGATGTCTTCAGAAGGGATTTGTAAGTCACAGTTTTCCTATTATAGCCAATGTGCTGGTTACAAACCGATGCCTTTCAGTCACATCATGCTTTCTGCGAATCCCTTCAATTAGCAAATAACTCATCTTGTTTCTCTCGCACAGCAGCAGAGAGCAAAAGCTGTAAACTGGATTTCTTTCTTCGGTATGAAAGTGTTTTCTCTGAGGCCCTTTCTGATGCCCAGGCTGTGCTGAAAAGACTCGAGCAGAGAAATTGATGCCTCTCAAAAGGAGGTAGGTGTGTTTACTTCCGTAAATGATACAAGTTTTTCTTAGCCCATCCTGCTAAGGGCTAGAATAGTGTGCCTTGTTCAGGAAATCGTTGCATGGGAAACTGGTGCCTGGTTGTTTGAAGGGCGCCATGTGCTCACCTGAGCACCACCCTGGAGAGAAGCATCTGTAAGTGCAAGCTGCTCATGCACACAGATAAAAAGTATGTCCTGCCCTGAAGACATCCTTGTGTTTTAGGAGAGCTCCAGCACAGATTTCTCTCCTCCTGTTTATGGCATTTGCTTCAGGAACTGCATCGACTTGTAAACAACTGACATATGAGATCCCAATATAGATTTCCCAAGCTCTTGGCACTGTCTTGCTGTGGAGGTTCTGCTGTGCTCTGTGGGTGGCAGAGCTGCTGAGGGGGCAGTGGAATGGAGGGTGGCAGGGGGGTGCCAGGTGCTGCCCCGTGATGCTTCTCCTGGCAGTGTGCTGCTTTGAGAGCAGTCAGAGCTGGTGAATGATGCTTGGTTACTGGAGGGGATAGCTGAGTTTGGTGCTTGGGGTGTGCTGAAGAGTACTCTGGGCTCTGAGCAGTGGTAGCCACATACCAGCTGTTGTCCCAGCTCAGAGCCACCACAGAAACAGCAGGACATGGAACATTTTGGCTGTGGTGGCATTCTGCTTATAAAAGCCTAAGGCATTATGTCTGTTAGAAAAAACCCCCAAAAGATGTATGACAGCAGGGAAGAGAATTCCCTTGAGTTGGGGAGCAAAGGATTGTTTTCTGCTGAGCCCTTAAGTGTTCATGGAGGGAAATCTGAGTTCCCTGAGCTGCTGGTTCTCCTGATGGTATTGAATGTAACATCTCGTGGCCTTTAGGAGACAGATTTGTATTTGCAGTGGCAAGCCCGAGCCTGGCTGGGCTGACAAGCACCTCTGAGTGCCCTGCTCAGAGAAGGATTAGTTTTTTGTACGTTTGCTTGTTGCCGTGATCAGATAAAAATGCCAGGTTTAAGGTTTTGCTGTTCTCCACCCTTACAATAGGAGCAGAGCTGAGGTGAGTGCTGTGCAGTGGGGATGGGCGTGACCAGGAGGGATTTGGCAGCTCGATGCCCCCGTGCCAGCAGCACCACCACTGTCTCCTGCCTCCCTTGCTGCTCTCGGCAGGGCAGAGTGCCCAGGCAGGTGAGCTGCAGCTTCTGTGCTGCACAATGGCCTCACTTGCTATTGCTTTGCAGTCACTGCTGTTTCATGTTCCTTCAGCACCTCAGACCCAGCAGGGAAGGTTTACAGACCCATTTGTGGCCCTTTGTGCTCCCAAAAGAGCTGTTGCAGCAGGAGCCAAGTAGAGAGGTTGTGGTGCTCAGAGCCGGTTTGGGTGTCTGACTGCAAAGCGGTAGCTGGACAATTTTTCTGCAGCTATAAATAAATGCTGAATAAATGAGAAATGGATTTTCTTTAAGCCTTCCCGAAAAATCGCTTCTCAGCTGTGACAAGCATGAAAAGTGTCAGCCCCAGGGCAGTGGGGGAACAGGCTGCAGCCTGTTGTAAGCAAGGACTCAACCAGATCTGTCCCTCTCTGAGCTCCCCTCTGAGATCAGCGGGACCTCTGGGCACCAGCACTGAGTCTGGGCTCTGTTTGTAGGACACAGAACAGCTCTTTCCCAGAAGGGCCTGGTGTTTTCTTTAGGGGGAAGCACAGTGGTGTGTTTCTAAAGTCATGCTTGAAGTGCAAGTTCAGCTCCTAAGAGCCCAGCTCGGATGTGTAATTCAGGCTGAGGTTGTGCCAGTGGTAGATGTCAATGGATTTTCTTTCTCTCTCCTTTTTTTTTTCCTTCCCCTTCTTTGTATCCTTTTGCTGGTCATTTGCTTGAAGTCTTGGGTGGCTCAGGGCAAGTAAAAGCAGGTCTGGAAGCCGGTGAGATGCAGTTTCTCTGCAGAAAGCATTGCTGGGTGTGCTTGCCCTGCTGCAGGGGAGGTCTCCTATCCCTCGGGTGCTTCTGCTTGGGAGCCTTTTGGGGGTGGCTGATCTCTCTGAGCAAGCAGTGATGTGCTGTGGGCAGCAAAGCCTGGGCAGTGTGAGGGTTCAGGGGGGTTTTGCAAGCCTGCCTGTTGGCACCAGGCTGTCCTGGTGTTCAGGCTCCTCTGGTTTCTCTGGGATTTGGGTTTGGATGCTTCTTTATTTCTTTTCTGTTGCTAGTGAGCTCATCCCTGCATGGTGCCTTGTTCCCTGCAGCATTCCTGTCTGCTCCCCTCTGCTGTTCCTGCCTATTCCCTCCTGCTTCCAGTGGAGACTTGTTTGGTCGTGGGCTTTTTTCCCAAGAAGGTTTGTGGTACAAGGCTGGCTTTTGTGAGAACTATTGCTTCTCTTCTGATTTTGGTGTTCTGTTCTGCTCCCCGAACTGAAAAATGTAGATGAATTGCTTTTCAGTTTAGGGAGATGTGATTTTTGGGCTTGTTTTTGCTTTAGAGTTTCTCTGTATATCTCGCATAAACTATTCCTATCTAATTTGGTTCCGGCTTGGATGAAACCTGCTTGGAAATGAGAACAAGACTGAAATTGCAGTAATTTGGGGAAGCGTGGAAGAGCTTTGCTGGTGTCAAGTCTTATCTTCCTGTGCTCTCTTAGAGAAACTCAATTCAAATTATTGCACAGCTCATTTGTTCCCTGTACTGCTGGGCTCAGATGAAGTGGGGGAGCGTTGATGCTCCCACGTAGAATAAATGTCACTGTGTTTGTGGATCGTTTCCATTGCCTGTGGGCCTGTCCAGTCCTTGGTTGTCGTCCTTCATTTGCAGCTGCAGGGATTTCTGGATGCAGCAGAAGAAAGAAGTTTCCTGTTATCTTCTGCATCCTGATTAGCAATGAAAGCTTGTGAGGGTTTTGTTTTTTTCCTGTCGTGGTGACAGAGCTAGAGAACTTTTTTCCACCCTGTTCTGGTGCACTTGTGTAGAAGTTTGGGCCGAGCTTTTGCTCCTGTTGTGTTGAGCAAGCAGGAGGTCAGCATTGTCCACAGAGCCTTCATGGGGTCTCCCTCATCAGTCACACACAGATTCAGGCTTGAAAAAAAAGCAGTTTGGGTTTCTGAAGGAGAAATGGGAACACAGTTTTTTTCTGATTATTATATGCACGGTGATAGTTGATTGGCTTCATGGTGGGGTCACAGCCAAGGAGCTTCTCTGAGAGCCAGGTGTGTGGAGCCTGTCCTGGGCCTGTCTGTGCACCAACCCTGTGAGTCTGTGCAGGTTTCCAATGACTTTTTTATATTTTTTTCACCTTCTTCGCATTGAAAATGAACAGTATAAAACCCAAAGCAGTGTTCATTCACAGAGCACTGATGTTGTGGCTCTGGAAGTTTCCCCACGGTGCCCAGCCTCCTGTGGTGTACCTGAGTGTCCCTCTGCTCACACAGGAGAGGTCTGAAGGGAGCCAGCTTCTTCTGCCACCCTGAACAGCTGCTTTTCAACCTGTGTCTTGCAGATCCCTCCTCACCACCCTCTGGAGGTTTGCAATCCCTCTAAAGCCAGTGCTTGAAGGAGATCACTCAGAAATAGTCACTAAAGTGGCTTTTGCTGGGATGTTGCTCTCACAGTGGAAGCAGGAGCATGGATAAGGCATGAAAAGCCATAAGCCTGGTCTCCCACCTGTAGGGAAGAGCTAGTGGCCAGCTGGGCTAGTGACTGCCCTGCCCTCCCTCTCTCCTCACATCCCTCGTTAGTCTCAGTTATGGGCCACTGCACCTTGCCTGGGGGGATGTACATTGTTTGCCCATCTGGTTGGGGTCCTCTCTGGAAAAACATGGAAGATGTGGAGATGATACAGAGATAGGAGAGCTACCTCCTGGGCCCTTACCTGCAGAGGTTCCTGTTCAGAAGTTGCCTTGGGGCTGTCGTGGACATGGGAAGGCCTGAGATGAACTGGGAGGGCTGTTCCATGGTGTGTGACCATTGAGCTGGTGTGTGAGCTGGGAGTGTTGTGGCCTCCAGAACTGACATCCTCAACTGGGACCAAACTTCTCAGTCACAGTGGAGCCTGTTTGGTGGCACTGCTCAAGCTTAAGCCAGGTCTTGGTGACTCAGTTTCCCTCTTGCTCCCATCTGGAAGCTGGATGTGTGCTAACTTGTGCCAACTTGGGCAGGAAGGGTTTTGCAGCATCCCAGGCAGTGAAAGCCTGATGGATCAGGCTGTAATGTGGGGGCATATTATGACTAAGTGGAAGCTGGGATTCCACCTAGGATCAGTATTTCTCCATTTTTCCAGGATCTTTTGGAATTGTTAGTGCTTCAAAGTAAGTCTAAAATGTACTGTGTGCTCTTTCATAGCAATGCTAAAAGGCTGTTGTTCCCACTGAGCAACATGTCTGAGGAAAAGTCTTCTGGAAAGAGCCTATAAATAGCAGAGCATTTCAGTTACTGAAAAGTCATTTCCATTAACCAAGTCCATGCACTGAGGAAAGGATGTTACCTGGGGCTCTAGGTAGCAATGCTGTGCTATTTTAATTTAAAAAAATCCCCAAATTAAAAAATATATTGCAGCAATGACAAGTTATTTTTCATCCATATTAGTACAAACATGGATTTGGCAGGATCTGAACACCTTCAGGATGGGTGAGAGTGGAGGTATTTTGTGTTTTACAGGCTCGTTTTGATCTGGAAGGGGCCAGGCATGCAAACCTTGAGAACAAACATGATCTGGTTATCAAGTCTCATTACAAATTAATGTTTGCATTAAAAAAAAAATACCTTTAAGTTTGTTCTCCAGCGCATCTGCGGCATCTCCTTTCTTCTTTACACCAGAGCCCTTCATGTCCACAGTCTCTGTTCGGCAGGAAAACCGAGTGGGAGAAGCTGGGACTCGTGCAGTTCCCCCTCTGAGGATGGTCATTGCATGAGGTCATTGCACTGCCTTGCTCCCCAAATCTGTGAGCATTTCCACCTGCTGGGAAAGCCAGCCCAGCCTCCCCCGGCGCAGCCCCAAGCAGTTGCATTCAGTCTTTTTATCACTGGAATAAAAATGACAGTGACAGCAGAAAATGGCCGTTCTCCCTGGAGCAGGGCTGAACTCCCCACTTCAAAGGTACCTTTATAGCATCCCTGGAGTCTCCAGTAAAGGCCACCTGCTCCAAAAGGCTGGCATCCCTCCTGGAGAGCTGGGGAGCATGTGTCTTCAGGGGCAATGTTTACAGCGCTAAAGGACTCTGGGGAAATAGGAGCGAGAGTTCCAGCTTATTTCTTTGCCTTTTATTTCCATAACTGCACAGGCACGTTTGCCTCTGGTTGCTGTTTCAGGTCACTGAAGTAGATTTTGGAGCTCTGGGTTTGATTGCCCAGCGTGCTGGGAGCTCAAGAGTTTGTGTGCCTCCTCCCCAGAGCTTTCTCTAGGAGACAAAACTCCACTGTGATTGAGGTTGAAGATTCCTGAAAGTCCCGTTTGAAATGCTCTCTGCTCTCTATGCAAGTGATCCCTCCTTGTTCTGCAGTGAGATCCAGTATCCCTTGCCCTAGCCTTGGCCTTCCAAAGTAGTGGTTGTAATCCATGGTTTATCAGGTCCCTTACACTTTTTGGCCTGTGGCTATTTGGGGAAGACATGAAGAGAGGTTTGGTGCTGGAACCAGCTCCAGTTTGTGGGATTTGCTGTACAGGTCAGGGCTGGCAGCAGGGCTTGCTGCCTTCCTTCTCGGGGCTGGAGCTTGGGTTCAGTAGTGTGTGTCTATGTGGGGCTGTTTGTTTGGTTTTTTTTCTGTTTAATTTTGTTCCCTGAACAAAACCCCAGGGTTCTGCTTGTTGTGTGTGTTTGTATAGGGCAGTTCACTCTGTTATCCAAATCTTCCTGCATTTCTGTTCTGCTGTAGGCTCTGGCTGCCTGTCTCGCCAAGGCAGGGGAACAGTCACTGTTCAAGAAGTTGCTGAGCAAAGTGGAGCATGCTCTGCTCAGGGATACTCACACCCAGGACAGTGACACCCAGGACACTTGGCCCCTGGACACTCGGACGCTCCTGTGTTTTCTGAAGCTGTTTCAAGACATGAATTCCAGGCTGAGAGCAGCTCTACTGGAAAGGGAACAGAGCACTGGAAAAGCCCCATGGCAAGGAGGTAGGAAATTAGGTGCTGCCTCTTGCAAATTGAGTGGGTAATCTTACAGGCAAAGCAGAGAAACCCTGTGTCCTTGGATGCAGGAGGTTTATCACGTGCTGGCCAAGATCCTGGAGCATTTCTGCCTGCAGCAGCAGGTGTAGCTGTGCAGGGCTCTCCCCATCACTGCCCGCAGGGCTGGATCGATGGCTGGCAGCTAACGTGGGTCAGAGCACAGCTGAGGCTTGGGATTGAAGGCTTCTTTCTTACTCGAGCCTGACACAAAGCAGTGGCCTTGCAAACCTGATGTTAACCTCCAGCTTGCTTTATGGCTTTGTGCTCTGTTAGATAAATCAGACGTTTTCCTTTCATAGAGTTTAAAGAGAATAGTAAAGTGATTTTCCTCTGCTGCTCGTGCTTGGGATGAGCTTTGCTATTCACTTAGATCTTTCACAGAGTCTCCCTTGCTTCAGCAGCCTGTCAGTTCCTTCAGACTGACTTGTTTCTTCTCTTGTGTTTCTGAATCCTTTTCCCCCCAGAGGACAGAGCTGAGGAGGAGACGCTGACCGCTCGCTTGCTGGGCTGCAGGGAGGAGCTGATCCAGAGCGTGACACAGCTGAGCCCCATCGTGGAGTTCTTGGAGGCAGCAGAAGAGGGATTCCTGACCCCCTTGGAGAAGTGGGTAAAACCATCTGGAATGAGGCAAACTGTGTGGGCGAGGTGGGCTGTCGGTGGGATGCAAAGCAGTGTCGTACCGTGGTTTGCCTCACCTGGCTGCTTCACCTGCCTTCTGCAAAGCACGTGGGTGGGCTCAGGTCCTTCTGTGCTGGACTGTGGGAATAGTGACAGCTGAGCAGTGAAGGCAACCTCAAAACCAGGATCCGTGTCAAACTGCCCCTGCAAGTGGAGCCTGGGGCAGAGGAGGTGCCTGGTATTCCTCCTAGCCCTGAAAATGCCTTTTTGGGAGCATGGAGAAGGCTCTGTAGGGGAGTGTGAGCAGAACCACTCTGCTACGTGCTTGCCAGTTCATGGTCATCAGCTTCCCTTTCAGCTGACTCCCGGCTTTAACTCTTTTTTGTGGCTCTTACCACACAGTTGTCTGCAAGACTAACTGATTTGGTGTTACTTCTTATGTGTTGAAGGCAGCAGTTGGTGGGGAAGACTGTTGCTCTCCTTTCATGTAAGCAATTGCACTATGTGTGCTGATTTGCAGAAGCCATGAAGGACAAAATTCTGTGTATAACCTGCTTTCCTTTGTGTTTGGGGGGAGCTGGCTGTACCCTGTGCAGCTGGAACTTCTAGGGTGCCCTCGCCTGCTGCAATCAGGACTCAGCTTGAGACCTCCTGTCCTAGTTTGTCACATCAGTTAGTTCCTCTGACACAGGATTACAGTGAGTGGAAGGTTGTGCTCAGTGACATGAATGATCTCTGCTTTCTGTCTGAGTGATCCTGACCAGAGCCACAACAGCTGGGCTGAGAACCTCTGCCCGGCTCATAATCCCTTCAAGTAAGGTCTGCCTTGCTCCTGGTCCCTCACTGGATCCAGAGTGGAGCATCTCTGAGCACAGGCACAGCTGGGCACCAAGCTCTGGCAGCTTCATCAGCAGTGGGGAAATTAGGATTTTCATATATCCCTGTTCATGTTGCAGCATGGCCTTTATTTTAAAGGCCACACCTTTTCCCTGCACTCTTCTTTTTGTCTTCGTGGAATCAGGTAGTTAAAATTCAGCCATTTTTTGCTTCCCTCCCCATTTTAAAAAACAAACACAACCCCCCAGTAATAACCAAAACCAATCTGCCATCGTAATTCTGCTCCTTGGGCACAGGATACAGCCTGTAATTGCATCATCATGTGCTGCAGGGCTTCTGCCTCCTTTGGTGGAGGAGCAGTGTTATTCCATGTTTCTTTTCATCCTTGTCAGTCACTGAGAGCTCTGTTTGCTGCAGAGCCTCCAAACCCTGCTCCGAATACCAAATCCTTCTCCTCTCTATGGGATCCCTTCATACTCTTGTTTCAGCTCACGGTTTCCCATCAAATAACAGATGTATTTGGGGAGCACTCTGGTAAGGAGGGGGGCAGAGCTCTGTCCTGCTGTGGCACAGGAAAACCAGGCAGAAGTTGCCAAGTGTAGACTTGATCTTAACAGCTTTCCTGGTTTTCAAGTTTGGTTTATTTGTTTAATTCTACCCTCTCCCCTCAGACCAATGGAAAAGTGTTTAGTTATTCCAGAAAAATTGATTAAAATGGCAGGCCCATAGCATATGTGCAGGTGGGATCTCTGGTATCTCAGGGACTGGGAAAAAGAACATGGAATTAGCAGCCACCTCTGAAGGTTTCGTCTTACCTGATTCAGCCAGTGTTGCACTGGAGCTCTGGGCTGGCAGGGATGGGATCTAGTTCTCCAAGGGTTCATAAAGATGAGGCTTTCCTTTTTCTTCTCACAGTCGCTGCCTCATTAGCTACATATTTATTCAGCAAGATAAGTGGTAGTTTCTCATGTAACAGCCTTTTTTCTGGGCAACTGGGTTCTTTCTGTGCCTGTTCTGAGCTGTGTGTGGAGCAAGTTTGGTTTTCTTTGCTGGAAAATCAGTACACGATGTTTTGTGAAGCCTCTTTGTAAATCTCTGGGTTTTTTCTGGGGAACTTTTTAACCTAGCCTTTTTTTTTTTTTGAGTGCTTAACTTCTGTGGCTTTTTGGTGTTTCTGTAATGTGGGGAGGTGGGGCAGAGGATTTGGATGCAGATTATCACCTAGAAGAAATAAAGTTGGATACAAAGGAAGGGCAGGTAACCTTTCATTTGTGGTGTCTCATGGCTTAGGTTGTTGCAGAGTTCAGTGACCACTTCACAATACAGTGTGAGCTCCCCAAGAGATGCTGCTCTTGTACCTCTTCTCAGACTTCAGACTGAGGGATCCAGAGGCAGCTCGGTGTGAATTGAATGGGAGGACACATCAACAGGTTTGCTAACAGAGTTTGGGCTACAAAAGGATGGATCTTTAGAAATGAGAGAAACTAATTAAGGAGTTCAGGTGCTCATTAGAGCGGAGGAGGAGCTGTTGGATTAGTTTCTTTTATGTTAAAGGTAGGAGAACTGTCTGAAGTTTGCATCCTGAATGAGAGAGAACTTCTGTAAGAGGTTACAGACCTGAGTGAGTGAATAACTTGAGGAAAGGTTTTAGGACCTGCAGGGAATGGCCAAAACATCTGAGAGGCAAATAAATGTACTGTAGAGCTGTGAAGAGGCTTGTGGCACATCAGGCTGCTGGGCATCATGGCAGATATCATGACAAGCAACAGACATTTGTCTGATCAAGTAAAGAAAAAGAATAAGGAGAGGACATGACCTGCAAACTCTTTTCTGAGCCTGGGGCCCTATCCAGGAGAAACACAGAAACAGAAATTTCCTACAGCTGAAGGGAAATCACAGCTCAAAGGACATCTCTCAACAATCAGTTAAGACCAATTTGATGCTTTCTGTGATGGCATGGCAGGATGGGGCGATGAGGGAGAGCAGTGGATGGTGTCTACCTCAACTTCAGCAAGGCATAGTATCCTCATAGGTAAGCTCAGGGAATGTGGGTTAGGGGAATGGACAGGGAGGTGGATCGAGAACTGGCTGAATGGCAGACTCAGAGGGTCGTGATCAGTGGAGTAGAATCCAGTTGGAGGCCTGTAGCCAGTGGCATTCCCTAGGGATCAATACTTGGTCCAGTCTTATTCAACTTGTTTATCAAACACCTGGATGAAGGGATCAAATGCCCCCTGAGCAGATTTTCTGATGATATGGAACTGGAGGGAGTGGCTGGTACATCTGAAGGCTGTCCTACCATTAAGCAGCACCTTGACAGGCTGGAGAATTGGGCAGAGAGAAACCAAATGAGGTTCAACAAGGGCAAGTGCAGGTGCTGCACCTGGGGAGGAACAACCCCAAGTACCAGCACAGGTTGGGGGCTGAATTACTAGAGAGCAGCTCTGCTGGGAAGGACCTGGGTGTCTTGGTGGGTGACAAGCTGTCCCTGAGCCCATGGTGTGCCCTGGGGACCAGGAGGGCCGGTGGGATTCTGGGGTGCACTGGGAAGAGTGTTGCCAGCAGTTGAGGGTGGTGATCCTGACCCTCTACTCAGCCCTAGTGAGGCACATCTCGTGTGCTGTGTCTGGTTCTGGGCTTCTCAGGACAAGAAGGGTAAGGAGCTGTTGGAGAGGGTTCAGTGGAGGCCAGAAAGATGGTGAGGGGTCTGGAGCATCTCTCGTATGAGGAGAGATTGCAGAAGCTGTTTAGTCTGGAGAAGATTGAGAGGGGATCTCATTAATACCTTAAAGGCAGATGCTAAGAGTCTTTTCAGTGCCAGACTTTTTTCAGTGGTGCCCAGAGACAGGACGAGGAGCAATAGCCATAAACTAAAACACAAGAAGTTCCACCTCAACGTGAGGAACAACTTCTTTCCGTTGAGGGTGGCAGAGCACTGGAACAGCTGCCCAGGGAGGGTGTGGGGCCTTCCTCTCTGGAGACATTGGAAATCCACCTGGACGAGTTCCTGTGTCATCTGCTCTGGATGACCCTGCAGAAATTTCTGTTCCAGTCTGGTTCAAAAAAGGTGAATTCATATTGGAACTTGACAGACCTGCAGTGGGAAGATCAGGGGAGTGGAGAAGCTGCTTTATGGGAGAAGCTGCCTTATATAGACAAGGGAAATGAAGACTGAAAGGGAATATATATGATTGTGCTCTTATAATGAAATTGGAAAGGAAGGGTAGGGTAAACATCTCAGAGAGTTTAGAAGGCTTTTTAAGCTAAAAGATAATGCTGGCACCTGTACACACAGGCATACACTGGCCATGAATAAATTTCAGCTGAAAATTAGAAGAATTAGCAGGGGAATGAAGCTGTGGAAGGGCTTTTCAACCAGGGGAAAGGGAGTAAAAATGTAACTAGTTTTAGAACAGATCTTAATAATTTTATTGATGGGACTGTGAAGTGTAGTGCTTTTGTCAGCAGGGAACTGAGCTGGTGCCCTGCAGAGGTTCTGCTCAGGAGCACAGTGTTGGTGGAGAGGAGGTCAACCTGTATTTGTTAGCTGCCTCTCCCTTGGAGGTATTTTACTGGTATCCTAGAGCTTTTCCAAGCTACAGGGGTTGCATCTAATGTGAGAGATGTCTCATGTGGCCTCATCAGAGAAAGAATAATTCAATTAGTAGATGATTATTTAAATAAAGAGAATTTTTTTTCTGTCCATCTGTTTTTTGATGGCAAACAAAAATCGGGGAGACAAGGGAAAGGAGACTCTCAATTTTAAAAGTATTTACTAAAAATGTTATGTTGGTTTGAACACTGTCTTTAAGTCTATTTTTGTTTCCTTTAAAAAGTGGTTTTTTTGCTTGTCAGCCACTTCCAAGAGCTGGACTTGGTGGAAGAACCCACGAGGGTGGTCTTTGAGCTGGGACATGTGCAGGTTTTCCTGTAACCAGCACCCTGTAACACCTCCCATTTAAACTGTGGAAGCAGTGGGTATGGATTTATTGCAGTACTGTGATGCTGCTCCTGTTTTTCTGGTCTCAGTTCAGATCCAAGAGTTTGTAGGAAGCTCTCACAGACAGGTTTGTGACTTTTTTTTTTTGTTGCAGGTAGTTTTGGATTGCTATGAAAGCAGCTCTGAGAGGGAAGCCGTGGACAACCTGCTCAGGAAGGTGGATGAAGAGAAAACCCTGAATGTGGAAAGCTTGATCAAACTTCTGGGGGCTGTGAAAGCATCATTCCCTGGGCTCCAGCTTCTGCTGGACAACTTGGTGGCAGCAGCAAACATCTCTGATAGCAAAGGTATGGGTAGACTAAACTTCCACTGGTGGCTTTAACTTATGGTACTGACTGGCTTTGAAAGCAAATAGCTAAAGATGCCCCAAAATTGTAGATGTCGACATTAAATACAGAGAGTCTCATACCTGGAATTCCTTGTGATTGAGGGAGGCAAAATTTATGTGGGCTGGGCTCCTGTCCTTGATCCAGGGAGCATTTCAGCTCGTGGTCTCTTGTGTGGAGCAGAGTGTGCTGATGGCAATCCCACACTTAGTGTCCCTGTTAGACATCATTGTCTTGGATGGCTGGGTCCCTGCTCCTGTTTATTTTGGTGGGATTTTATTGTTGCTGCCTGCCTGGGATGGTTCAGGGACTCAGGAGCCCCCATCTTTTGCCTGGTGGGACAGTCTTCCAACTTTGGGTGGGTTTAGACATACCCTGAGCCAATTCACATCGAGAGACTCTGAAGTCACATAAAAATTAAAAACTAAATTAACATGCAGTGAAATGTAAATGAGTGTTTAATAGAAAGCAAAACTGTGCTCATAATGCTGATAATTTCCTCTGTAGCAAACATTCCCGACAGGCCCTTTGCTTTGTCATTTGTTAAGCACGATTGCTTTCTTGAAACACCAGATTCCCAGCATGGTTAATTATCTCGTGGTAATACCCATTCCAAGGAGGAGCATTCCTTAATTACACAGAGCTGAATCTCCTCAAATTGCAGCTTGAACAAACAGAAGCACAAATATTTCTTATCGTGGAAATGAAGAGGGAGGGAATGATTTGATTTTACCGGCAACTGATGGGTTCGCTGGTGGCACCTTTGGTGTCACTGTGCTGTCCTGCTGATGGTGAGGAGGAGGTCCTGCACCTGGCACAGGGCACACTCTGGTTCTGGAGCTCACCTTGGCACGGCAGCAGAGCTGAGAGTGCATTCATAACAACTCAAATTTGCGTCATAAAATCAGAAGCATTCTGATGGGAGAAGGAGGGAAATAATTCACCTGTGAATTTCCCTTGGCTTTGCTGGGGATCAGACTCATGTCTCTAAGAAGTCTTTGTTCAGGGAGCTTTTCATAATAGCTCAGAATCTTTCCTTTATTATTCCCCCAGCCTGCCATTGCCTCCTTCTCCATCCCAGAGAGTTTTCTCTCCTTACCTGGCACTGTGTGTCTTCTGGGTCCCAGAGACTTTATCTTTCCTCCCCAAGCTGTGTGTGTTTAGCTGTTTTTCTCCCAGGTAGTTCTGTGAGAATCATGGATTGTTCTTGTTGGTACTGAACCAGAATGATTAAAAGGCAGAAGTACAGAAAAAAAAATTGTGCACAGATGCCTTGGATAAATTATAAGGTTTGGGTTTGGTTTCTCCTACAAAAGTATTACTGTGCATCTTCTTCAATTTAGAAACTTCAATGGTGAAAAAAATCCTTCTTGGATTAATCTGTTTGGCAGTTCTTACTTTTATTTATCAACTAATCAGGTGAGAAGTACAATCATAGATTACTTTTGGGACACAGTAGATTTTGCTCAAGTCACTTCATTATCCTGAGTAAACACTCTTCCTTGACTTAGTCCATTGCATCCTGACACTGAGGTATCTTTAAAGCATTGGAGTGTTACTCTGGAGTCATCATTTATCAAGGCAAACTTCAGCAGTTCCAGCTTGGAATTAGACTGAGGAGCAGAAAGGAATGGAGTTAAAGTTGCTTTTTTTGGTGTAAGGGAGAGAAGAAGGTGCTATGACTGCTCTGCAACTCCAGGTCTGGTTTGTGTGCCCTTAACATTTTCACCAACTGAGCCCACTAAGTTCTTGATTACCTTGTACCACCTGGGTGTTTGTAAAATGTTTGATAGTCATACAAGGGCATGAGGAAGACATGAGCTGGGGCATTTCAAAGCTCCTTCTTGGTGGAGTGTATCAAACACACTGACTCACAGACCTCTTGCAGTGAAACTCCAATTAAGAGTCAGTAAAGGGGTCTTTGTTATTCCAGGGAATCAGAAAAGGCTGATGAACATCTTGAAGTATTGCCTTCACAGACAAAGCCACATGGTCATCTGCTGAGTGTGCTGAAAACTGAGACTTTCTTCTTCTGGGCTCAGACCTGGACTGAGACTCAGGAGACATTTGGGTGCCAGAGATCCATTCCTGTTAGAGATGTGTGGGCAGAGGATACTCTGTGTTGTCTTTGCTTTGGAGAAGTTCTGATTTGTTGTGTTCATCCTGAGCTTGAAGGTGAATCCAGGTGTGCTGAGCATAAGACCCCGAGCATTAGTGACCCAGGGAGAACTATCTGCCTGGGCTTTTTTGGTCTCTCCTACCTCTGAAGGCCTTTGGGAAGATGCTGCAACTGAGCTGTTCCTTTCTTCATTCACTGAATTCAGGTGAATGGAGCCCAGAGGATTATGGAGCCAAACTGTTGCAACAATACCAAGAGAACTTCGTGGAGCTCCTGACAGACAGGGCTGTGCTGCTGCAGGGCATCTCTGCTGTACAGAGCCTGGCTCCTGCAGAGAGAGAGCTGAGCAGGCTCCTGCCTGTGTGCAAGCAGATACTGAGCTATAATCCTCATCTGGGATCCCTGTCAAGTCCTGAGGGCTTGATTTTCTACCTGCCATGCTGGGTTTGGGGTAGTCCTCAAGCAGGACTTGGTTTAATGATTCCAGAGTATCCTGTAGTGGGATTGAGGCAGGCAGTGTATGTGAAGTGGAGGATTACCAGCTAAGTGTGGCTGATCTGGGCCCTGAGGAGAGATGCTTGGTTCAGAGTGAAGCTGATGTGTTCAGGTTCTGGACTTCTAAGTGGTCACCACTGGAGTTGCACTGTGAGCCAGATGGGGGAGCAAGGGCAGGCTGGGTCTTGGTGAACCTTGTTCATGTCCTTGGGGGTCCCTTCCAACTCAGAATGTTCTGTGATTCTGTGTCTAAGTGTGATGCAGGATGGGGTGTGTTAGTGCCACTCTGGTCTCTCTGAGGCCATAGAGCAGGTTGGGATGTAGGAGGCAGGTGGATGGGGTGTGTTAGTGCCCCACTCTGGTCTCTCAAGGCCATAGAGCAGGTTGGGATGTAGGAGGCAGGTGGATGGGGTGTGTCAGTGCCCCACTCTGGTCTCTCCAAGGCCATGGAGCAGGCTGTGAGGCAGGAAGCCAGCGGTTTCACCTCCTCGTGTCAGCAGTGCTGGAGCAGCAGTTGTTGTCTGTCTCTGACATTTGGCAGCTGCTGATGGCTGTGTAGGAACCTGCATCCCTGAACCTGCTCATGGAGGAGATCTGGAAACAACCTGGTGCAGAGTTTTTCTTCCAAGCAGGTAATGACTTTGGTGTTCCCTTATGCTTTCCCTGAGCTTCTCCTGCTGCTGGCAGCAGCTGCTTTCTAACTCCTCACCCTTTCCCTGGCCAGCAACCTCTTTTCTTCCAATGGCTCTCAGAACACCTGTATCCTTAGTAAAACATTGTTTGAAAAGCACTTTGTTTGGCAAAGGTGGCTTGCTTTGCTTGTGGCTCTGTGCATTCAGGTTTTATAATGAGCAAACCTTTCAGAGCTGGCCACTCTCCTGAGGTAATGGCCAGCTGGAGGGCCTGCAGGAAGGCTGGAGGGGGACTTTTTGCAAGTGACAAGACAAGGGGAAATGGCCTTAAAATGACAGAGGGCAGATTAGGATTAGATATGAGTTGTGATGAAGAGAACTGATGAAGCACAGGTTTATGAGTTAGGTGAGCTGGTGATGTCACCAGGTGTTGAGGAACAACCTCTTTTTCCATGCAAAGGTGGTTTAAAGTGGGTTAATACCAAAACAGAAAGTCTGAGAACTAATTTTGTTATAACTTCTCTTAATCCTGAAATTCTCTCAACTCATGCACATGTATCAGTGGAGGGACAGACATGTATGGAGAGGGATTTCTTTTCTGGTTTCTCAAAGCAGATTCCCAGCAGTAGAGATGAATCAGGAAGGATGTGCCCTTACTCCCAGACCAACCTGACCTTTCACAGTCCAAAATCTTTCAGGTGATCTTGTCTTCTTATTATTTCTCCAGCTACTGAGTATTTCTGCTCAGAAGGAAAGTTCAGAGGCCTCCTTGAAAGCAGCTCTGAGCACAGCCCAGGAGAAGTGTGTCCTGACCATGAAGATCTACCAGGTGCTGTGCAGGGTCCATGAGTCCTTCCCAGACCTGCAGCCAATGATGCAGGAGCTGGACTGTGTGGGTAAGAGAAGCACAGACTTCACCCTTTTACAAGGGTTGTGGGTGACAGTTTGGTGGTGGACCAAGTGCCCTGGTGGCCTGATGCCCTGGCCAGGTGTTGGGGTTGTACTTGCAGGAGGATTTGCAGGGGGAGATCTCTGGTTCCAGGCACTGGAGTGTGTGTTTCTCCTGCTGGTAACATGCACCATGTCAAAGTTTTGTATGTTACAAGGGTTGTGGAGCCCATAACTGACCCTATACTGGTGTTCTTTAACTGTGTTTGCATTTTTCCACCCCAGCCCTTGCTCTGGAAGCATTTAAGCATCTTAGTTCTGTAATTTGTATCTATATTGGATTATTTTTCAGGATTATTATCCTTAAGCTGTGGGGTTTCATTGGCTCTTCCTGTGCTGTTGGATGTGTATCAATTTGGACTTAGATTACTGTCACTTGCCTTTCTATATGTGGATTTTTCACAGGCTGCAGAAAGATCATGGCAGAGCACACTTGTCATGTGCAAAGATGACCATGATGGCGCAGTTTGTAGTCAAAAGACTATTTTCTGAGTTAATTTTCTTAGAATGCTTTAATTTGGCCTTGCTCCATATGCACTTTACAGAGCAAATGCTCCCCTGTGAGGATCTGTGCTGGTTTCAAAACTCAGCAGGAAGACCAAGCCCACTCAAACAGCGCCCTTTTCGATAGCAGAGGAAAAAACAATCCTAAGAGGATTACAAATTGGAGTCACAATATACTGAAGAAATTGCAATAAACACAACAATAATAGTAAAAGATTACATGGAAGAGGGAATAGTTTAACCAACAAAGGCAAGCTGTAGCCTGGCCCCCCCAGGACAAAACCAAAATGGAGTGTGTTGCTGTGCTGTGTGCCATGTGCCACCATCCACCATCCCATACAGAGAGCAATTTGATGAGCTCCAGAACAAATGCAGAGCTGTAACCACGTGTGAGCCCTGCCCTGAGCTGTGGGAGGCTTTCCAGCTGAGCCCAATTGTGTCTTTGCATTTGAAGGAAAAATGCTGAACTGGATTTGGTGCTTTAATGACAGGGATAACAGAGGTCCAGGAAGGTAACTGCAGGTGTGCATCCTCCTGGAAAAGATGCAAATGTGACTTGCTAATTCTGTTTGCTCACATACATTTTCATGGCATCGTGTTTCCGAGTGCATCCAGATTTTTTGGGGCTGTGGAATCCACTGGGATGTGCACAGTGTGGTTTTTATCCAAGCACAGGCACTAGTTCAGCTCAATCCATCCCTATTTCCTTGTGTGGAAATGCCAGTAGATTGCTGGGGAGTTAGAGTAAGCAGGTTGCTATTAATGTCTCCTCTTTTTTTTAGGGATAGAAAGTTGAATGACTTTGCCTGAAAATATGGGTCAGGGCCATCAGTCTTTAAGAATGAACACAAGCCTTGTGGCTTTGAAACTCGCCCTCACTCTGTGTTTGGCAGGGACAGACAAAGCCTGGCCCCCCCTGTGCTGGGGGCAGGTCACCCTCTGCACCCTGGGGGTGTTGGTGTGCCCACAGTCTTGAGCAGTGAGGAAATGTTGCTGGAAGGTGGGACTGGGTGTCTGGGAGCAGGGCACAGGTAGAAGAAATCTAGGATCTCAGTGACTGTTTTAGCTGTAGGGCTTGGAGGGTGACAGCACATGCTCTGCTCCCCTTCCTTGCCTCAGTGGACTCCTGAGGGATGTCCTACACCCAGGTCAGATCTAGGTCCTCTCTTCTAACTCCACCAAGAGCTGCCACCAATCCAGCTCTGATTTCCAGAGAAAAGGTGATTCTTTCTTATCTACCTTTCATTCTGTCTCCTTCTGATCCTGCAGGCACTTGTCCCACTCCCCTTGACCCTGTGTGGCCGTGGGTTGTGCCAGGGCTGATGCCCTGATGACTGTGGAGCAGGTGAGCCAGCAGTTGATGTGCCTGTGAATGTGCAGCCCACATGAGCTCATGGACACCTGTAGCAATGGAGTTATGGAAAAAGTCCTGCCAAAGATGGACTGGTGAATCAGAAGTTTTTAATGTTGTTTAAACACGTGTTAAGATGGCTTTTTGCAGAGTCACTGCTGCTGTTTCCCGACACCCTCTGTAAAACTCCTTATCTCTCAGGCAGGAATGTCCTGGGAAGATGTCCTAAGGTGCTCTCATTGGTCTTTTGTTAACCCCTTCCTTATTTGGCTGTTAACTCCCTACCTGATTGGTGTTTTGTAAGACCCCTTACCTTGCATGGTTCCCTTTGACCCTCCCAAGAGCTTTATAAACCCCTAACCACAATAAACTTCCTCTTTTGTCCGTCTCTCCCTGGTGGTCTGGTGAGTGCTCCTTTGTGGGGTCACAGGCCACAGGGGTGGGGGGCAGGGTGGAAGGGCACACACCTTCCAGGTATGGACTGAAGCCAGGCCTGAAGGTTCTCCCCCTCCAACTCATCTACCGTAGACACCTTGCAGTGGGGACCAGAGGGGCCTGGGGAGCTGGTGCCATGGCTCTGGCAGATCCTGCCTCTCTGGCAGCAACATCAAAGAGAGCAGAACTGCTGTCACTGAGTGTCTTTGCAGGGAGTCAAGCCAAGGTTGAGACGAAATCAAGCAAGAAGCAACATCAAAAACAAAAGCCCTGGAAAATGGTATTTATTTGGCAGAAAACGTGTATTCTGGATGAAGTGTCCAGAGGAGGATTGCCAGGTACCAGCCTCTTTCTGGCATCCTACAGATCTTTGCACTGAATATCTTAATTTTGAGGCTCCTCAGCTCTGACACCACTGCTTACCAGCCCCAAATGTTGCAGGTGACTTTATGAACCAATAGCCATGTGGCTCTTGGCATGAGATATGAGTGATAACTCTGGGCCTCATGTCTCAGGGGTGTGAGCTTCCTCTTGAAGCTGAGGAGACCTTATGTTTCTGAGAATTTATGTGCCACATGGAGATGTCAACAGTCGCATTTCCACTTGAAAGCAACAGGTTTTGCATCTCTGCTGCAAAAAAGCCCTCGAAAATTTCTGGTAATTCATCTAGGTGAGCTGAAGCACTTGGAGTGCCCTGTGGAGGAAACTGCATCCATTCCCAACCACGCTCAGTATTATCAAAGTAATGAGTTGATTCTTTTGGTGGAGGTACAACATGGAATCTCTTGGCTTCTCCTTGGGGTCCTGCTGTAGTTGGAGCACTGTCAGTGCTGGCAGCTGGTGCATGCAAGGACAGGATTTGGCTTTTTCAGCCAACTCCATAACCTCCTCTCCAGCCATCTGCTTTCCAGTGCTCTCTACAGTCACTTCTTGGGAGATCACATTTGTCAAGATAGGTCTCCCTTTCCAGTCTCAGAAATGTGTCAAAACTCTACAAAAAGGCTTTTCTTCTTCATGGTCTTGTGTTTAAAGAAAAAGTACAGTTATCCTTCTTCACTTGGGTCAGAAAAACTGACAGTGTTGGTTGCAGGGATGTGGGAAGAAACCTGAGAGGTGACAGGTCAAGGCAACCTTGGCAGAGCAGGACAAACTGGAAACCAGTCTTCCAGTCTGCTCTAAGTTCTCCCTTGATGTGTTCACAGGTTATGGTTCACCACTTGGCGTCTTAAGATTTCCAGGTCTGTTGGAATGTATAATTTAGTCTCTAGTTGGTTGGACATCTGGGGCAGTAGTGATGTGTGGGGAGACACTGCTGGGTTCTTCCCATAGTGAAGGAGGCAGAGATGAAGTTTTGGAATTTACAGGGTGAATTTCCTGTACATTGGCAAAGGGAGAAGTCTGTGCTGGTTTCCATGGTCACACAGTTCCCTGGTTCTCATTATAGCAAAGAAGACAAATGTATCTGTTTATATTTTGATTTCTTCCATACGTACATTCCCTGTGGGTTTTTTCTGTAGATTGAGATCCTGGGTGAATTTTCCAGCTTGTGCTTTTTGAGATGATGGTGTTACAGGGACAGGGAAAGCATTAAGCTTTGTAAGAAATGAACATAATGAGCGGTTTAAAACACCTCAGGGCCCCAAGCACAAGACTCAAAAGGGTCGTAGTAGGATTATCTGTTCCCTTTCAAAGAGTTTGTGTTTGTGAAGTGTTTCTGAGATTTCTCATAATTAAGGGCTGGATATCCACCCTCAGTGGCAGATTTAGGCAGTATCATATCATATCTGAGGCTCAGGTCTGCAAACATTTAAGCATGGCTGTAACTTCATGTGTGTGAGCAGGAGGCAAGTGCTTGGAAGCAACAGTTTGAGGAGCAAGCTTTTAGGAAAATCTGGCCCTGGTTCTTGGCCCCTGGTATGTGTGGTGGAGAAATTCAAGGATCACTCTTTATGCATCTTACCATGCACAACGAGAGCCACTTTTGGGCAGAGCCATGTGGCACCAATTGCAAGGGGCAGAGTGTCTGATTGCCTCTGTGCAGGACAAACTGCCTCTGTAGGAGCATTCAGGAGATGTGAGACTGAGGGGCAGGTACCCAGTCCTGCTGGTCACCACCGAACCAGTACTTGCTATTTCCATAGGTCTCTTGACTGAGAGAAGTGGGGAGAAACCCGGGATCAGGACGTGGAAGGTGAACAGTGAATCCCAAGTTAAATCTCTGGACAAAGATGAGGACAAGGCAGGAGGAGCTGGTGCCAAAGAAGCAAAGGAATCCCAAGACAAAGCTTAGTCCAAGAAGAGTTTTGTCTGCAAAGCCTGTGATAAGACCTTTCACTTCTGCTGCTGCCTGAAGGTGCACATGAAATGCTATCAGGTGTCCAGAGGAAAGCAGATCCAGTGTAAAGAGTGCAGCCAGGCCAAACTGACCAAGAAGGAGCTGGAAAATCATCAGCTGGAGGTCCACGGGGTGGGTGGGGATGGCCAAGGAAAAGAAGCAGCTCCCTGTGGCACGTGACATCTGTGGAAGAGAGTTTGCTCATGCCTCAGGTAGGGTTGGTGGGAGCAGGATGTTTAGGCAGAAGTTTGGACAGTATAGTAAAGTGATAGTCTGAAACTTCCTCCTCCTCCTCCCTGCAGCTCTGTGAGTGCCATGTGTGAGAAACGCAGCTCAGCTCATTTCTCCTGCCCCACTGAGCACAACCACTTTCTGATTAGTTCTTCCCTAATTGGTTTTCCACATGGCTCATCAAGGAAAAGTGGGGCTACTGGCAAATTTAAAAGCCTCCAAAAATAACTGAGCTGTTCCAGTTCCTGGCTGCTTTAGCAGGACAAGTAAGAGGAGCTGAGTCTCTTTGCCCTCCCTGGGCAGCTCACGATGTCCTGGTGGACTCCAGGCTGGAGGACATCACACCTAGACTCCAGTGATGCATCCTTCCTCTGGTTATCCTAGTTTCTCCTGCCCTTCCCTCTGGCTGAATTCCACATATTTTTCATGCCCCTGCTGCTCCTGCCCCTGCACTCAGTGCCATGCACTCCCGGGGCTGAGGCAGGGCTCTTCCAGCTCATGGGCACAGAGAATGTATTGATGGGGTTGTAAAAAATGTCCTTGGCTCTATTTCCCACTGTTCCCCGAGTGTGATGCAGTTGGGCAATGCATTTTGAACATGAGACACACCAGCGTGAAAGTGTGTAGCACCTCTGGATACCTGAGGTCGGTGCTAATTTAATCCTCCCTGTGGGCTGGCTGAGGGTCTCATGGTGGGATTTTTCCCTCCCAGGAAAAGTGAGACTTTAATGGTTTGATGCTATGAGTAGGGTTGTCTCAAACATAATGGCAAACAGGCTGCTGGGAGCTCACCATGGAAAGCTGTTGGTATGCAGGAACAGTAAAACCTGTATGTACAGCCCAAACTCCAGTTCTGGTTTCCACCTGGAAAGTAAAATTTCCCTCCCTTTTTTTTGACTGTCTCTTAATTCTTCTTTTCCCTTGATTTCTTTGCCCTCTGTGGTTTGTGCTGTGTTTCTGGGTGGCAGACACTGAAGATCCCTACAAGCTGCAAGAAGTGCCAGATGAGCTTTGCCACCCTGCAGGAACACTGCAAGCATGTCCATGAAGCACCTTCCTGGGATTCCAGCCCTGCCCTACCTGCTCCAAAATCTGCAGTGCCCCATCACTCCTGGAGAGCCACACTGGGGGAAAGACTTTGGATTCTGTGACAAGACTTACCAGGTGAGCTGGTGCAGCCAGGAGTTGGTCTCATGTTGCTGTTGCCTGCTCCTGCACCAGGATGTCTCTCCAGGCCATGTGCAGCAGTTTGGGGTTGGCAAAGGGATAACTTGGACTTTTCCTTAGGGAAAAGGCAGGTCCATGGGGAGAGATGGGCTGTGACTGCAAAGGGCTACATATCTCGTTCACCCAAGTTTCTAGCTACCAAGAGGTGTGGTAGGAATTAAAAATAGTCATGTTGCAAAGGGCATGCCTTGGAGGGAATGTGTGTGGGAGCACATTGCTACAAGGGAACAAGAATTCACACCAAAAGGAGACCTGAGACAAGGATCAGGGATTCAGCTGTGCTCAGCTCCTCAGGGACAATTGAGAAACAGAGTGAGGTGTAAGTGCTTGTCCTGTGGGAGGAGGATCAGGTCTTGTATCTGCTGAGCATGATTCCCCTGTTACTTCTGCTTTCTACACTGTTCTTGCTGTCGTGGTGCCCCTGGAACTGAATCATAGAATCCCAGAGCGGTTTGGGTTGAAATGATTCCCCATTTTTAGAGGGGTCCATGATGTAAACCCCCAACCACAGCGCTCTGGCATTTCTGTGCTGGCATGAGGGGGTCTTGCTGGAGGGGAAGCAGCTCAGTCCTGGCTTTCAGGAGCCAAGGAGGGTGTGCAGAGGTGCCTGGCTACTCGCAGGCTGTTAACACCCCGATGACACCCCATGAGACTACAGCTGTTTTGTTGGAGGCCCAGTGCTAGGTTTGAACCCAGCCTCTTCCTCTTCAAAATCTCAGCCATCAGTGGAGAGCAGTTCCTTGGATGAGAGAACCCAGTGTGCAAGATTCCCTGGGATGGCATTCCTCCAGTGGATAATCACAGAGTGTTTACTGTCTACAGCTGCTTGTGGAGCTAAATTATAGCAATTTTGTGGAGAGAAATATTCAAATTACTCTCCTATCTTCTCTTAGATCACTGGTGTGTGTGGTTTGGCGTTTCCCATTAGTCTCATGCCTGTTGTAATTGCAGACCTGTGGCGTGGAGCTAAATGTTATTACCTGAGCTGAGGCTGGGGAAAGTGTGGGCAGCAAAGGGATCCTGGGGAACGTGGTGCTGTACATGTCTGACTCTTGCACCATCTTCCTTCCACACAGGTGATTCCGACGCCAAAGCAGGAGCAGCAGAGCACATCATCTCCTTTGATGGCACCTGGCTCGTTGGCTCACAAGTCTTTTTGATGTTGCCTGAATCCCATGTGAGCCAAAGTGGCTCTGAGCAGGTGGCAGTGACTATGGAGGACTTGTTTGATGACAGAGTAACTCTGATTTGTGAAGAAACCAAGCGGGAGACAGTGGGGGGTGCCTCCAGCTGCCACTTGGTATCCCCTAGACTTGTTCAGGAACTCCAGCTCGGAGATCCGGGGCTTCTCTGGGAAGGCAATCCCAGGCAGGCAGCAAGCACAGAATGACCAGGGACAGGAGAGGTTCATAGACATTCACTGCCTGGGAAGTCTCCCTGCATTAATCAGCTGCCAGCTCAGGTGAGCTGGACCACCTGTCTCTCCCAGGTGAGAAATAAAGCAGAGGAAAAAAATGGGAATTGGGTGTGACCCTGTGCTGCTGTGAATGGAGGGGAGGGGACTAGTGCAGGACAAAACTGGGATGTTATGGGTATGGGAAGGAAAAAAAAAAGCTGTCCTGAGAATTTAGGATGGAGATTTTTATGGCTGAATCAGTGATGTAGTCACAGGTATCTTCTCTGCAGGGTGTGTAAGGGCTGCTTTGTGTCTTCTACTCCCACCTGTACTGATGTGCAGCTAGAGACCTCCTCCAGCACAGATCTGACCTCTGGGTCTCTCTTCTCCAGCAGGGACTTCCTGGAAATTGGGCTAAATGACTTCAGTGCTGTTTAGGTAGCACCTTGTGCAGCACAGGTTCTGATCCCATCCATATTTTTGCTGTAACTGTCTGTTAGGAAGGAGGGTCCAGGGCAGATCTGGGGATCCCCATCCTCTCTGCAAGCAAACAGCCCTGAGATGTCCCACCACCCTCTTAATTCACCAGGAACATGCTGAAAAAGGAGAAGGACTTGTGCCTGTGTTCCAGGGTCCCTCATTACTGGTGACAGTGACTTGGCACTAATGAAAGTATTTGAGTGTGGGATAGCTGCTGTGACTGCAAGTGGACATTCCCCTGCCACACAGGGGGCACTGCCTTGTAAGATGCATTCAGGTGCCCACTGTAAAGTTTGCTTCTCTGGTGCCAGCAAGATGCAACAGCTTCATTGCAGCACACCAGTCCCTTTAAGGCTAAATTCCATAAAGCTTTTTTATCTGCAGCTTCCTAAAAATATAATCTGATAATTAATGGTTTGCTGCATCCATTATGAAGTGCAATTAGATAGATGCAGGGTTCCTGTGGCTCTGAGGGGACTGGTAGCATTTATCTTCCTTTCCCTCATGCCAGAAGGTTGAACTCTGCCACTGCAATATTTACACAGGGAGCAGTGATCCCGCTGGATCTCAGAGCCTGGGACCCCACGGTGAGCAGTGAGCTGTTGTGTCCTGCTGCCCAGAGCCACGGGAGATGAACAGATTGGAGTTTTCCAGCCGCATCTTGTGCTGGCTGCTCACTGCCACCAGGCAGAGATGGTGGCACAGGAGCGTGCCAAGGTGGCTGTGCCAGTGAGAGAGTTTGTTCCCATTATAACTTGGAAGGAACAGGGAGCAGCAGAGCTCCCAGGAGAGGGGCTTGGGGGAGCTCGTGACATTTTGTGTGTGTGTGTAGCAGCAAGCATATGACCCTGCTGAAGTGTTGCACGTGTCTTGAAGGGCTCCCACATATGGTTTGTCCCCCCAAGCTTTTCAGGGATGGTGACACTGAGGAAGCGTGAGGTTAAGCTGCCAATGAATCCAGGAATGACCAGGAGATGGTGCTCAAGGCCTTGAGGATTAGTGCTATGGCCAGGTGCCTCTGCACCTTTGTGGAAGCTCCTCTGAGCCTTCCCAGGCCTTCCCCAGCTCCTGGGCTGCCAGCCATGGAGAGATCTTGAGCCACTGCCAAGCTGAAGGAGAACTCCAAGCCCTGGACAGGTCACCTCCAAACCCTGGATATCACTGCTTAAAGAGCCTGAAGCTGGGTCTTGGCCACTTGTAGAGAGGGTAAAATGCACTTGTTACTGAGGTGAAGAGATGAAAAAGCCTGGGATCCCCCTTGACCAGGAGAGGGGCCAGAGGGGGAGCTGCTGGAGCCCATCTCATGTGTGGCATGTGTGCATGGCATTTGGGATGAGCATGGGGATAATGGCACAAAAAGCAACTGTGTCTTGATGGTTTCAGAGCAAATGTGTTGGGAGGAAAGTAGTGGATTTTGTCCCACAGGCTGGTGGAGTTGGAAGCTGTTCCCCCTTTTCTGACTCCATGGGAGCTGGGAGCTGTGGAAATCCTACACAGGCTGGGGGGGGGGGGGGTCTGGAGGGGGGAATGGATTGTCCAGACAATGCTTTGCAGGTGTCCTGGCCTTTATGTGTGAGCCAATATCTGCAGGGAGAGCTAAGGTGAAGCTAATGTCCCTTTGTTCCTGAAAAAATGTGGAGGGGGGGGTAAAGGTTTAGCAGGGCTTGTGAAGAAGTTTTCCTTATTTCTGTCCATCTCACAGGGCAGAGGCAGCTCAACCAGGGCAGAGCAGGTATTTGGGGCCTGTTGGCCGTGATACCTTTGGTCCCTGATTCCTCTGGTCCCTGATTCCTCGTTGTTGTTACAGCTGGAAGGGGACAGTGTGGATATCACTTCAGGGGTGGTTCAGACTCACCTCTGCTGTTTGGGGCCATCTCTCCTGCCTTTCTGCCCAGCAAGGTCCCGTGTGGACGTGTCCTCAGCAGAATCCTGCCAGCTCCACACCCCCAGTGAGAGCTCTGTAGCTCGACAGAGCCCATCAAGTATCTCCCATATCATTACGAGGAGATAATAACTTACTTCCCCCCATTCCAGTTCCTTCTTGATAGATGAGATATGTACAGCAGAGCAAATTGCAGCCTTAGCAACACCCATGTCCTACCCGGGAGGGAGATGCATTTCCCAGGACACATCCTGGCCTGGTGTGCACCACACTGGGGATGCTGGTCGCTGGTGATTCCTTGTCTTCTCTGTAAAAGTAAAACGTGGAGAAGGAAAGATGTATCTGCAGAGTGTCATTTGAAGCAATTCACTGGAAAAGAAAACCTTCCTGTGCTTGAAAATATGATTTTTTCAAATCTTCTGCCAGGTGCTGGGTGACCCACTGGGTTTTGGGTCCTGTGCCCCCCTTGACCTTGGTGCCATCCTCTAAGGAAGCAGGTCAGGCTGGAGCATGGGACCATCCTGCCCTTCACTGTGTCCTCCTATTGGAGCTGCCAGATGCTTTTGGGAAAAGGGCAGTGCCTCCAACAAACTGGGAAGTGACATCCCAGGAAAGACTTTAGGTCAGGTAATGGTGGAATGACAAGACAAGGTGAAATGGCTTTAAGCTGGAAGAGGATAGATTTAGATTGGATATTAGGAAGGAATTCTCCCCTGTGAGGGTGGTGAGGCCCTGGTTCTGACCCCGTGTCTGTCCTGTTGCTGTGGGATCCTTTGGAACAAGGCAGTGTGCCTTGTGTACAGCACTTGACCTTTCCCATGTAAAGTGTCATTTCACAGCCCCAAGGTGCTATTTTAACAGTGCCTGCAAATTCAGTGCTCTGGGCCTCATTTTTGGGTTGAGGTTTTTATTATTTTTAAACCCAACCTGTCTGTAATTAGGTGCAAAGATGCTGCTCACCTAGGAGTTAAAGAAGGAGGTGGCAGGAGCATGGAGGGAGTTTGGACAGAGCTTGAAGCCTCTTGTGGGGGAGAGGAGGAGGAGAATGGGTACTAATGGTCTGAAAACACTGTGTGTGTGGTTCAGGCAAGCCCTGGCAGCCCCAGGTGATTCTGATATCTTGGCAAATTTTAATGTTGGTCTGGCAGGCTGCCGGCACATCCCCAGTGAATTCAGGCACTGGAGAAGGGAAGTGATGTCTCCAACAGCCTCCATCCAGCTCAGCAAAACCTGAGTGCCCTTTCACAGCACGGAGATGAGACACGTCAGCAGCCAGAGGGATCCTCCCAAATTTCAGTGGTTTGCTGCAGATGGTGAGAGCTGAGGCACTTCCCTGGGACATGGGCTTGGTAACCTTCTGTCCTGGGATGAGCAGGCTGGCTGATGGGGGGCCTGGCTGCCTCCCCAGCATCAGTTCCTGAGCCCCAGCACCATCAGCTGCACGAGGCCTCCTTACAGTAACCTCCACAATTCCCCATTTCCTTTGGTCGGGTCTCCAGCCAGCCTTCTGCACAAGCAGAAGCTCTCACTCTGCCTTCCCTGCACCCTTTATGATCACTCAAAGCAGGAAATCTACCCAGGTTTCTAATCATGTTTAAGCAAACCTGATAAAGTGCAGTTCTTAGTCCGTTTAACATCAGACACACGGATGCTGTGTAAGTTGTGGTAAAAAACCTTCATCCACAGTGGGAGTGGGGCTGGGAAGCACCCGTGGGTCAGACCATGCCACTGGTTTTTGTGACCTGCAAGGAAACAGAAAGCCCTTGCTGGTGAGACAGAGGCTGGAGGAGCAGTGAGGAGCAGTGGGGATCTGAACTGCCTGGCAGCTCAGCATCACTAAGTGTCAGGCCGTGTGCCTGGGAAGGTGCCACGCTGGCTGTGTGGGGACAGGAGGGGACTGGTTAGGATGTGTGACAGCATCCTGAGGGCTGCTGGTTGGAACAAGAGCCCTGAGCAATGTTTGGGGGCTTTAGGAGATGCTTTTGGCAGAAGCCAAGAGGAGTTTCCTGTTGCCCCTGCTCTGAGTGTTGCTGCAATGAGATGTCAGTGCTCACCCACAGCAGCGTGTGACAAGGAGATGACAAACTGAAGGCTCTGCAGGAGATGTCTACCTGACAGCACGAGTCAGGAGGTGGGAAACCTGTCTTGGAACACGAGAGCAAAGGAGCTCTCACTGCTCTGCATGGCTGAGGAGTGACCCGGTGGCAGCTTCACCCCCTGTGCTGGGAGGTGGTGCTCACTGCCATCTCTGCACTCTGGCAAGTGCTGGAGAGCATCAATGTTAGTCAAGGCCCATTTGTACAGAGCACAAATACTTAGCTTGGCCTTATTTCCCTTTTCTTGGACACCCTGGAAATGCCTGGCATTGTGGGTGGTCCAGGCAGTGACCTTTCCACTCCTGACAGGAGCAGGCAGTCCCTGTCTTGCTTCTGAGGAGCTCAGGGTCAAGTTTTTTGGCCGATATTCCTTCATCCCATGGATCAGGGATGCTTAGAGCCCTGCAGCATATGGGAAGCCTCGTCTGGGCAGGCTGGCTGCTTGTGTTCTCTGTGCTTCCCAGACTTTCTCCCGCTGGCCCCAAAGCCTCCTGCAGATGGGGAGGGCTGGCCGGGATGGGTCTGGTGTGCACATCCTCCCTTCGAGCACCAGGAGGAGCTGCCAGCAAATGGGTCTGTCCTGATAGATTAGATCTATCTTGAGGCTGTGCAAAATCATCTCAGCCCACAGGTCTTCCAGCCACTGGAGGCTTCCTGCTGGAGCTGGAGTTTGCTCTCTTTCTCTTGGCTGCAATAAGGTGAGCAGAGCCCTGCCTCGGGTTTCAGGCTGCCTGGGGAGATAATCCATGCCCCTCCAGCTGTGCTGAACCTGCTAACGGGTGTGATGATGGCTTTCCCTGACATGTGAATCTGGCTTTCTCTGCCCAAGGAGGCCAAGGCCATATGTCACCTCCTCCATGGCCTTGGCCTTCCTGGCCAGCACTTTGGTGGGGAAGAGCTGAGCTCCAGTCTTTGCCAGCCGCCCTCATCCCTCAGCTTTGCTGTCCTTCACCTGGACATGGTCTCCCTGCAGGTTCACCCCAGCCCTCCACCTGCCTTCCCCTGATCTGCCCTCACCCAGACCTTCTTCCCCAAAGCTCATCCTGCAGAGGGGTGCCTGCACCTCGACGTGTTCCTGCCCCATGCAGGGTTTTGCTCTCTGTAGAGACTACACGTGGGGGCACATCTGGAGAGTCTCCAATTGCAGGTATATAATTCCCATTCTGATCTTCTACAGGAGTCACAGGGGGACTCAGTGCTGGGTGGAGGATGGGTGGAATGGCTGTAAGGACCCCACGAGTTGTTCCTTTTGTCCAACTTGTGTGTTTATTTTTCCAGCTCAGAGGCTCCAGTGAGACCCTGTTTAGAGCAGAGCTGCCCCATCCACTGATACTTAATGCCATAATAACATCACATCGGTTCAGCACGTTGCACTTCAGACCTGTAGTTGTTTCTTTTGTCCCTGAGTGTTTAAAGCTGTTGTTATTGAGCTGTCCAGTGACACAAGGGGCTTTCTCCAGCAGGGTTATAGATGATAGTGAGTTTGGTGATACACAGGAGCAGGTCAGATGATCTCTGTGGCGTGTGTGAACTCCCATTTATCAACAGCCGGTCTCTGTGAGCAGTGAATTCCCTCCACAGCTCCCTCCAGCCTCTCACATCAGCTAACCCAGATAATCCTTTGCTATCTGCCACATCTCAGTAGATCTATTAAACACACATGAGTTCTGGTGTCCTTGTGCATAACCAGGGTATGTTGCAAGATTTCAAATCCCCCGGTGCAGGATTCTGTCAAAGTTTTGTTGAAAGTCTAAATAAATAAACCCCTTTTACTCATCCATTTCTCAGTGGTTCTGAGGGCTTTTCTGTTTTAAAGGTGAGGCATTGCTGTTCCCCCAACAGACTGCTTCACATTATTGGTGGTACAGCTGGCCAGGAGCTGCTGCAGCTGATGAGACCCCATGGTAGGTGATTGGATTTGGGATTCCAGGAGCTTTGCACAGGTGAGGTTGGGTCTCCCTACAGCTCTAGTGGAGGATGAGGACAGATCAGACTTGCTTTGGGGGTTCACAGTGACTTGTTTCATGATGGAGAAATCAAACCCTCAGCCCTGCCATGTGTCCAACCTCTCTGGCTGTGTCCCTCTGGGATGTGCACAGGTGACTGCCAAGCACTGGCACTCGGGAGGGGCAGCAGAGCAGGCAGCACAGAGAGCACATTCCTGCTGCTACTCCTCGTTGCTTCTGTGTCAGTACCTGTCCCCCCCCCGCCCGGCTCTCACTGCAAAAGGCTCTACCACTCCTGCATTCCTAATGCAAACGTTGCAGGAGCATGATTCAGCACTTGGCAGAGAATTGCAGATGCTCCAGAGATTATTTTGAGCATCTTGGAGTGGCTCTGGGAAGCAGTGGGGTGATCAGGGTCCCTGCACTCTTCCCTGTGTCAGCCGAGGCTCTGTGCAGGGATGTGGGACACAGTGCTGGGCAAGCCCAGCACGCTGCCCTCCTGTCTCTGAGCCTGCTTTCCCCCTCCCAAAACTCTGCAGCCCTGGCAGGGATCCAGTGCTCCCCTTCCCCCTCAGGGAGCAGACAGCTCATCTTGCCAAAAAGATCGAACACAATTTCCTTTTTCTGTGTCACAAGCTCGTTCCTGGGGCTGTGCTCAGGCCAGGTGCTCGCAGGGAGAAGTCTCCTGTTGGGAACAATCCCTTCCACTGGGCTGGGGGGATTACTCAGACCTGTAATTTGAGTGGGGACTAACTGGTTTTGGTTTAAACGTGGAAACTGCTATCTGCCATGATGGGAAGCAAAAAGAATCCAAAAGCAGCTGGGATCAATGGGCTGCAGCTCAAGGGGATGAACAGAGCCCCAAGCTGCTGATGGGCTTCAGCAGGGGCTGTAGGATCTGCCTGTCCCTTGGGAACAGGCTGGACCCTGAGGGCTTGGACACTGGCATCTCCAGTAATCTCTGATCCCCAGAGCACCTCTGCTGTCTTGGCCCTGTTCTCCCTCTGAGCCCTTGCACTGGTGGTGGTGCCTTGGGGGAAACCACACTGCTGGTGCTCTGGAGACCCCAAACAGGGGGTTGGCAGTTTCACCCACAGAAGCTGTTTAATTTGGGGCAGTGGTGAGGGCTGGGGGCAGTCTCCCTCCCTGCACTGTAGGGAGCTATCCCCATCCTCTGCTCTGTGTGTTTGGAGCAGGTCTCTGCTCATCAGTGGGTTTCTCTGTTTCCTTCTGGACCTGCCTGTTGTGCTGCATCCCTCCCTTCCCTCCAGTGAGCTCGCTTGGCAAGCCTTCCTCCATGCTCTGTGTGCTCTGTACTGCATGGGCTGGACAGACTGGATGAGTTTTCCCCTCCCAACCTTGTGGGAGCATGGCCAGAATAACTGTTTGCTGAGACCACGGGCCTCCTGCCCCGTCCTGTACAATGAGTGCCAAGGAACCAGCCTGGTCACTCTCCTCTGGAGGCAACACTGAGGGTGACAATGGGGGCCCACAATCTTCCAGCTGCCTGCCCAAGGGATGGTCTAGGAGGGTATCTCACGTGCTCGGGTGCCCTGATCCACCCACCTGGTCTGCTCTGGATGGCTTCAGCAGGAAAGGGGAGAGGAGGGAGGTGCTCACACGAGGCCGCCTGGTCTCGGAGGAGGAGCAGAGCGGAGCGGCTGTTGCTGGGCAGAATGATGGAAAAAGAGGATTATGACAACCAGTATTACCAGGGAGTGTTCCCCGCCCTCCCCTGCCACTCCCCATCGCCTTTTTCTTTTTTTTTTTCTCTAAGCTCAAATAATGCAGAACACATCCACAGAGATTTTGGCTCAGTTTTCCCCCAAAAAAACCTTTCGTCTGTGATGAAGCCTGAAACATCTCCAGCACAAAGGGTTCTTTTTTTTTTTTTTTTTAAGTTGTTAATGCCTTAAAAGAGGGGTTTAGGAGAGAACGACCTTCGGTGTCGGTTCTAATCTCACTGCACGAGTCTCTAATATCCCTTGCTCACACAAATACATAACACCCAGCTTCCTCCAGAGCATCCTTCAAGAAAATCGATGAGGAAATGGGATTTGCCATGCTGGTCCAGCTCGCTCAGGGCCCTCTCTTCAGAGGTGACTGGACTCAGGCACCAAAGGTAAAAATCCTCTGCCACCCACGCGAACACTTCTGCAGCAGCCTGAGGGGAAAAGAAATCCCTTCAGAGCATGGTTTCCTCCCAGATTTTAAGTAAATCTTTTGGCCATCCCTGTTGGAGGGCCAAACCCTGTTACACTGCTGCAAAGCCTATAGTATCCAGGTTGGAATGAATTTACAGATCACTTGGCAGCACTTGCTTCAGGCCCCTTGTGTCCAGGGGAGCAGCTCCAGGAACTTCCAGCTGTGAAATCACAACCTCAAACAGGGTGAGACAGCAGTGATATCTGATGGGCACTGTTGATGTTGATGTCACCCAGAGGAGGATGCCAGCTCTGTATCCTGCTGTGCCTCTGTGCTGTTACACCCTGTGGTGTGACCAGCTACGCCAGCACGGCATCTCTGAGGGCTCAGTGGTGTTGGGAGGAAAAGGCCCAGCAAGGATTTGAGTAGGGGGCTATGGTGAACTAGATGATCTTTAGAGTTTCTGTCCAACCTCAGCTTGTTCTGCAATTCTGTGATTGCAATTTTTTGGCAGATCTCTTCCATTTTTCCTGAGGCTTTGGCTGGGTTCCCCTACTGCAGCACAGATCACTATCACAGAACTACAGAATGGTTTGGGTTGGAAGGGACCTTGAAGTTCATCTCATTCCATCCCTCTGCCATGGGCAGGGGCACCTTCCACTAGCCCAGGTTGCTCCAGGCCCTGTCCAACCTGACCTTGGACACTTCAGGGATGGGGCAGCCACAGCTTCTCTGGGCAACCTGTGCCAGGGCCTCCCCACCCTCACAGGAAGAATTTCTTCCCAATATCCAGTCTAAATCCACTCTCCTTCAGCTTAAGGTCATTCCTCCTTGTCTTATCACTACATGTCCTTGAATGAAGTCCCTCTCCAACCTAAGCAAACCCTAAACTCAAGAGTGCTGCTTCCATATTTCTGCCAGACTAAAAATGGACTAAACCCAAACACCTTTGATGTAGGCTCCAATGCAATCCTAGTGTCAAGACAGAATGAAACAGGACAACTCAAGGTGGACATTTTGTCTCACCTGGTTCCTGAGGGAGGAATATCTGACTCCCAGTTATGCCACTTATCCAGAAAGATGGGGGTGTGGTTCTTTGGTCTGCCCTGTGCAGAGCCTGGGAGGTTCCCTGTGGTTCGAGTGACCATTTGACAGCTCTGTGCCCAAGGTAGTAGCCCTATGAGAGCACTGTTATGACCTCTTTCACTTCCCACAGGTCATACCAGCTCTGTCTTACTGTGAATACGATTTGTACCCAGCTCTGGAGGTATCAAACTATAGGTTCCTCTGCCCTGGACCACACTGCCCTCTTGTCCCAGTGACGTTAATCTGACCGTGCAGCTTCCACAAGTACCCAGACATCCAGCTGGATGGCAGCCCCATCCTGCCAGCATTGCACTGTTGGGGCCTCAGGCTTGTTGACACAGTGCAAGACATCACAAGGTAGGTCCTAGAAGCTGTGGGATCACACACCTGAGCAGCACATCACTGTGAACATCCTGGGGGGCAGGCAGAGATATCGGCTCTTCTCTCCATGTTCAGCCTCCATGCTGGCCGTGGCTGTTTGCCAGCCTCATTCTGTCCTTCCAGGAGTTCCCTTTCTCTGAGGAAGCTGGTGTTACTCAGTAGTGCTTGATGCCTGTCCCCTTTTCCCTGTCAGGGTCGACCATCCTCCCACCTGCATGGTTGCTGCAGCTCCAAGCCACATGCTCCATCTGTGCCGGGGACACAGCGGCTCTCGCTGCCTGCAGGCACGTCCCAGCATTCACAGAGCTGTTTTAACTTTGCCCTTCTGCCTTCTGTTCACCAGCTTCCAGACCTGCCCTTTCTGGTTCTCTCCATGTCTCCAGGGCTTCCCCAGCTCTAGGATGGTGTCTGGCCTTGGATGTGGGACATTCCCACTCTGCACTGGCTCCAGTCTGTCCTTAATGGCAGTGAAGAAAACTCTCATGGTACCAAGGCAAGCAGTCTGGTAGTGTTCACTTCGAAAATGCATCACTTATCCAAGCTGTAAATGCTCTGGAAGGGACTTAAAGGCTCTTCTCCTTCCAGCCCCTTGCCGTGGGCAGAAACACCTTCCACTATCCCAGGTTGCTCCAAGCCCCATCCATCCTTGGACACTTCCAGGGATGGGGCAGCCACAGCTTCTCTGGGCAACCTGTGCCAGGGCCTCCCCACCCTCACAGCCAAGAATTCCTTCCCAATATCCCACCTAACCCTGCCCTCTGTCAGTGGGAAGCCATTCCCCCTTGTCCTGTCACTACATGCCCTTGTCAAAAGCCCAACACGCTGCTCAGAGCACAAGGCTGCTGACTCACTGCTGGTAACAAAACTGGGCTGCAGAACCCATCCCCTCATGTCCCACTGCTGCTGCAGTGCTCCTGGTGCACCTCCACTGGGCAAATCCAGTCCACTTGCAAGATTTCCTCTCCAGCTGGGCACACGGAGGCATGTGCATCTTCTAATGACAGCTGAGATTTGTGAGTATTGACTTCATTATTCAGTGATTAAAATATTCCAGCTTTGTTGCGACATGGGGGTGCATTAATGATTTATAGTATTGCGTTTTGATTCGACACCTTTAAAAGGAGCTTGTGCGGTGGATTCTGCTGAAATCTGGAAATTAAATCTGGAAATTTACCAGTTTAATTGGCTCAAAGGGTGGGACAGTGGGCTGGATGCACCA